AGAACCTAAGAGAGATATGCATGGTACCCCAGAGAAGAGGAATGTGGCAAGATCTTCTGAACAGATTGGGAAGAAGGCGAGGGGTGAGGGGGAGTGGGAGCTGTGAAGAAGAGAGGGGGAGAAGAGGAAGAGAAAGTAGGTCATGGGGGCACAGAAAGGTTGAGTGGGGTTAAAATAGGGGGAATAGGGAGTCATAGCTTTGAAGACAGATCTGGCACCAGTGAGACCTCTAGTGATCTAAAGGGATAACACCAACTGGCAAGCTAAGCAATAGTGGAGAGACCACCTTAAATGCCCATTCCTGATAACTAACTTGATGTCTATAATCATCCTAGAACCTTCATCCAGTGACTGACGGAAGCAGAGACAAACATCCACAGCTAAACACTGAACTGAACCCATGGTAACCATTGACAGAGACAGAGAAGCGATGAGCAAATTGGCAGAAAATGGACTGGCAAAACCAGCAGACACAGCTGATCTGAACATGCAGGAGCTCTTGGACACTAGACAGACAGCTGGGAGGTCAGCATGGGAGTGATCCAGAACCCCTGAGTATGAGAGTCAGTGAGGAGGACTGGGAAACCTATAGGGCTGTGCGCCGTAGATCAGTGTTTATTCCTGAAATACAAATGGACTTTGTGTGTCCATAACACAAATCGGTATGCTCTCTCAGCCTGGACTCTTAGGGAACTCTGAGAGAGAGAGAGATAGTTTTGATAATGTATTTTATGCAGAGAGATTTAAAACATGGTCAGGAGAATGTTTTGTGATTGAAGACACTGGGAAATTCACCCCAGAAAATATTTCATGAACAAATGATTCCTTTTTAGCAATTGTAGTAAGTTCCATAATTTCTTCTGGACACTGATGAAAAAACTCACATGAATGTAGTTAGAAGTGATGCTTCCCTGTGTTATGGGAGGCTAAAAACATACACGGATAATATTTCTGTTATCTTTATCTGTAGAGAAACACCTACTCACACCAGATAATGAAACAGAAATTCCTACACTCCTCCAAAGTTCAACTTTGTAAACCAATGTGTTTATCAGGATTACGTGCTTAAAAGTGCAAGGAATACACAAAGGCAGCTGCAGCATCCAAAATTTCCATTCCTGGTATTGATGGCGACTTACAGTAGCTACATGCCTGCTTGATGAATGAAGGTAAATAGCTTCACAGATTACAAAATCCCTTCCAGGGTCTTAGTACAGTAAGAGACTTTCCTCTCCTCAACAGTTGCTAACACTTCTACAATATGGGAAAGGTACCTGTGTATATTTTCAACTAATTAGAGATTATTTGGACACACTCCTTAGACACCATTGCCTTCCTCCTCACACCTATATGTTGCTATTCAGGAGAAAATACAAACAAAATCACACAAATTTCACGCTCTCCAGTGTCTGTCCAAAATACATTCAACCTGTGTGGCTACTAATTCTCTTGTTGTAGACTGATTCCCATTTTCCTGAGGAATCTCCATACTGATTTCCAAGGTGGCTATACTAGTTGGCACTCACACCAGCAGTAGAGGAGTGTTCCCATTTCTCCAAATCCTTTCCAGCATAAACTATCGTTGTTGTTTTTTATTTTAGCCATTCTGATGAGAATAACATATCTCAGAGCTGTTTTGATTTGCATTTTCCTGATAGCTAAGAATGATGAACACTTTCTTATGTCTTTCAGGCATTTTAGATTCATTTATTGAGAATTCTGTATTTAGTTCTGTACCCCACTTTTTAATTGGATTATTTGGTATTTTAGCGACAACTGTCTTGAATTCTTTATATGTTTTGGAAATCAGCCCTCTGTAAGAATGTGGGTTGGTAAAGATCTTTTCCCATTCTATCTGCCATTTTGTATTGCTGATGTGTCCTTTACCTAATTTTCTTAAATTTAAATTTAGTTCTTTCCTGATACTTTTCTGAGTTTAAATTTTAAGAGAAAACTCAAAAAGATAAATTGGAATGTAAATACTTTCTACAGAATATAGTATTATATGCATACAGATTATGGTAAAATTGTATTTTCCTTCTAATCTTATATTTGATGAATATTTAATCACAAGCTAAAAAGAATTTTGTATTTCTCATTTTTATCACATGCAATATTCTATATTTCACATATTCTATCATTGAGCAATTTCCTTCTATAATTTATAAAAGGATTAACAGTGATAATGTAATACACACAAACACACACACACACACACACACACACACATTGTTGTAAACAAATGTGGCCTGATCCAGAAAGACAAAGAAAGAGAGAGACATTTTTAAAAGAAAAATTGTTTCTCTAAGAGAAAATACATTAAATTTCTAAAAAAGAGGCTAACAATATAAGCAATTTTCAAGAGGCTACCTTAAAGGCTCTTCTCCAACAATGAGATTCATGACAACCTTATATGCCATCCTTGAACCTTTATCCAGTAGCTGATGGAAGCAGAAGCTGACTCCCACAGCTAAACATGGAGCTGAATAGTGGAATCCAGTTGCAGAGAGGCAGGAGAGATGAGCAAATTGTCAAGTCCAGACTGGAGAAACCCAAAGAAGCAGCTGACCTGAAAAGGGGGGATATCATAGACCCCAGACTAATAGCTGGGAAACCAGATAGGATGGTCCCAGATCCCCTGAATGCGGATGTCAGTTTGCAGATCTGGTTTATCTTTGGGGCCTCCAGTAGTGGATCAGTATTTATCCCTAGTACACGAATGGACTCTGGGATCCCACTCCACATACAGGGATATTCTCTCAGCCTAGACACATGGGGGAGGGTCTAGGCCCTGCCCAAATGATATGACAGAGTTTGAAGATTCTTTATGGAAAGCCTCACCCTCCCTGGGGAACAGAAAAGGGATGGGATATGGGGTCAGTGTGGGTCAGAGGCAGAGGGAAGTGAGAGGGACTTGGGATTGACATCTAAAACATGTTTCTTTCTAATTTAAATGAAAAATAATTATATTAAAAACAAACAAACATAAAAAGAAAATACTTTGTATCATTTCATTAAAAGCAGAAGGGAATATAGGAAGAGATGCAGAAGTAAGATGTCTTAAGAGACCTTTTCATATGCTTTGATTTTTTATATGTGAATAATCTATTCTCAGAAATTACATAAGATATCATGATATGAATGAAAAATGAAATAGTCACTTGAAAATTGTAATGTTATAACTTAACAGGATTAACTTAGGAGTACATGGTGATTACAGTCACGTGATTTGAGCTTCAATTTATTAAGGAATGGTAGGGGATATTCAGTAAACTGGCATCTGGGGGGAGATCCTCAAGGAAGAGTATCAGAACTCACATTAATTCATGGAAGAGAAAGTGAGGTGAGAAGGCTTTGCCATGAGCATGGACAGCACGTGCAATAACTAATGTGGAGAAGGACTTGACCACATTGTTTTTGTGGTTTTTATCTGTACTTAGAGCACCTGGGATGCTAAGTTAAGATAATTGCAACCCTAGGATACACATTTACCTCTGGGTCAGCCTTAGTTACCATGTAAGATTTTTGTGTCAAATAATAATAGTAGTAATGGTAGTGATGATAATAAAAGGATAGCTGATAACAAAGTTTTTGTAGATCATAAAATAATTTGTCTTACATTTTTATAGAGAGATGGACATTTGTATCTATAAATCAGGATAGAAGTATGCCCTAGTTGACACTGTGAACTGTTATCTTTGATTGTGTGCTAGTGGACACTTTAGAAAGTGATTCTAGAGGAAAGAAATTGTCCCTTGAGGACAATGTTATGTTCCCTAAACTGTAGATAGAAAAGCATGGAAACAAAGATTCTAGTGTTGCTTATACTATTTGGGAGGACTTAGGAAAGAATGTGGTAGAAAATCAGAACTAGTTTTATTGTACGTTAATACGAATTCAATGGTAATGACAATTCTCAGTTCTCAGGATTTGTTATGAAGTCAGTACTAGTAAGATTTTTCTTAAGGGTAATGGGAATAAGTGATTTCATAATTCCATTATGTATAATCTGCAATTCAATCTCCAAGAATATAATCATCAGAAGTACTCACACATTTTAAAATGGAAATTCACCACCAAATATATTCAAAAATATATTGTCCACAAGGAAGTCTGTTCCACTATGTTCATAGCAGGATTATTTGTAATAGCCAGAACTTGGAGGCAACCTAGATGCCCCTCAACTGAAAAGTAGATAGATAAAATGAGGTACTTTTACACAATGGAGTACTATTCAGCAGAAAATCAATTGAATCCTGAATTTTGTAGGCAAATGGGTGGTACTAGAAGACACCATCCTGAGTCAGGTAACCCAGTCACAAAAAGAGAAACATGGCATGTACTCTCTCATATATGGATTTTAGACATAGATCTGGGGAGTAGCAGCCTACAATCCCAAGGCCAGAGAATATGGGAAACAGAACCTTCATTCAGTGGCTGATGGAAGCAGAGGCAGACTCCCATGGCTAAGCACTGAGCTGAACTCAAGAAATCCAGTAACAGAGAGGGAGGACTGATGACCAAAGGGGTTAAGACTGGGCTGGTTTAGGCCCCAGAAACAGCTGACCTGACAAGGTTTAGCTCTTGAATCCTAGACTGATGCCTGGGAATCCAGCATGGGACTGATCAAGAACCCCTGAATGTGGGTGTCAGTGAAGAGGCCTAGGTAATCTATTGAGCCTTGGGTAGTAGATCAGAATTTATTCCGGGTATACAAATGGACTTTGGACTCCCATCCAACAATGAGAGATGCACTCTCACCCTGAACTCTTGGGGAGTGTCTATTCCCAGCTCTGGATGAAGTGGCAGACTATGGACACCCCCAGGGAGGGCATCAACCTTCCTGGGGAAATGAGGGGATATTGGGGGGCTGGTGGGAGGGCACAAGAGGAGGGGAGGGAAACAGTGAGGGACCTGGAATTGACATGTGAAGCAACTTAGTTTTTAATTTAAATTTAAATTTATAAATAAAAAATATACATAAAATATATTATCCAGTGAATAAATGTGAGTATTGATTTTATAAATTAGACAACAGGAAAATATGCAGCTAATAAAAATTGGTGTTTAAAATAACATAAAATTAAGAAGTTACATGTTTACAAATGACAAATATAAACACGTCCCAGTTGCTTTTGCTTGAATAAATGCATTAAAAGAGAATTCATACCTTACTCCAAAGGGAATAAGATAAAGATTATTCTTCAGTAAAATGTGAGTTCCCAGGCCAGAGAACATGGATAGAACCTTCCATTGGTGATATTGATAGCAGAGGACTGCAAGAGGGTGGATACACTCATTGTCTTCAGTGGCATGGTCACTGCTCAATACTCATGTTCCAAAGTATAGTTCCATATCCATACCCACACAGAGGCTCTGGATACTCCCATTGAGTCCAAACAAGAAGACATTAATGTGGGTGGGTACTTCCTCATTAAGTAGAGCTTTGTTAAATATGGGAAGAAGAAAAGAAGAGAATAGACATGTAGTGAGTGTGACTAAATGGATTATATACAAGCATAAAACTTTTAGTGAATAAATTAGTAAAAAAAAACAGTAGCAACTATTTTGCATTTTTGTTAATATATTTCTTATTTCTAGGCAAACCACAAAGATTTTGTGCTGCAGTTCAAGAGTAAAAATGTGGAACAAGTTGTGAATTTCTTATAGACTTAGTTACCTAAAATAATGATTTTGAAGAATCAGTCTGAGTCCAGTCAGCTGGTTATTGTTACACTACAGATTCTCACTCTGTGTCTGGGTTTGTATTGTTCATTCTACTAGATCTATGTCTTGGTGTTCAGTCATGACACTTACACTTAGAAGGTACAGCACTAAGGAGATAGCCATGTGAACACTCACCATAAAGATGTTTGTGATTTACAGCTTCCATCACATTCCCATCTCATTTTCCCTAAACTGCACTGAAATAAATTAATGTCATAAAGGTTCTTAATCTACAAAGAAAAATCATATAAAACAATGGGAAACATGTAGTCCCTTCTAACCATTTCAAAATAAATATAGCTATTTTTCTTTTGTTATGACCAGGGAGTGAGTTATGTTGCATTAAATCATGGTTTTTCTGCCTCAATATCCTCAGAAGTTAATTTTGTGGCTGTGTACCACTTGAGTTAATTTTTATTGTACTTTTATCTGATTAAATGTGTACAAAAATCTAATGGTTACTTAAACCTGTTCAATATACACTTCTGATGTTACCTCATCCAAAGCCTTTTTAAAACATTTTAATCATGGTACTCTTGATAATATTTTAAGTTTTATTCATTTATTTACAACTTCACATTGTTCACAAAATCATATTTATTTAATCATTTTCTAGTAAGATTATCTATCTGTATATATAACAAAAATTGTAAAAGCTAAAAATAGTGTCTGGTACACCATCTTTGATTAGTAATGATTATTATATATGTTTTGCGACAATTTTTATTTAGTTTCAATAAGACTCTTAGATGGAGAAACACTGCTTTATTTAACACATATTTTATGGGTTAAGTTTGCAGCCAAGGTGTAAGATTTAAAAATATGAATTTGGAATAAAACAATTGGGAACAGGTTATTGGCAAAAAGCCTTCAATATTTACCCTGTTTATCATTTTGGTATTTTATTATGCATCATGAATAGAATAGGCATAAATAACTCTCAGAATTATTCAAAGCAAAACATATAAGGTAGAGAGGTAGGCATATCAGAATTCCAATTCATAATATAAAATACTTACCGTGAGCAAATGAACTGTGAAACTTCACTTTAAATACAACTTAATTATTGCTTGCTCAAAACTCATGCATGTTTCTATTTAATAGAAATCTCTTTTGTGCTAGAAATTTCTGGAATGCTTTCATGACATCTTTGTTCCTCAAGGTATAAATGAGAGGGTTGACTAATGGGGTGATCACACAGTAGAACACAGAGACGACTTTGCCAATTGTGAAATTGTACTTGGCTGGAGGGCGAACATAAGCAAAGATTATGGTGCCATAGTAAATAGTAACTACTGTGAGGTGGGAGGCACAGGTTGAGAATGTTTTCTTCCTGGCCTCCCGAGAAGACAGTTTGATTATTGTGATTACAATGTTGCCATAGGAACTCATTGTGAGAAGGAAAGAACTGAGAATCACCACGGAGCTGCAGGTATAAGCCAAGGCCTCTACCAAGAATGTATCTGAACAGGAGAGTTTAAAGATAGGGTCAGAGTCACAAAAGAAATGATTGATTTTCTGTGGGCCACAAAAGTTGAGCTGACAGATGAGTATGGTAGGTAGCAGAGGAGAAATGAAGCCCCCAATCCAAGATCCAGCTGAAAACCTTAGGCAAATCTGAACACTCATGAGAAGTGAGTAGTGCAGAGGACGGCAAACAGCCACATGCCGGTCATAAGCCATCACTGCCAACAAGATGCATTCAGTGGCTCCCAGGGAGAAGAAGAAGTAGTACTGAACAATACAGCCTTCTACAGGAATAGTGACAACCCTTGTGACACATTAGCCAGCAACTTAGGTACTGTGGCTGTGGTATACCAGATCTCCAGGAAAGACAGGTTTCCTAAGAAAATGTACATGGGGGTCTGCAGTGTGGAGTCCATCAAAATAAGGAAAATTATGAGAGTGTTTCCCATGAGAGACAGCAAACATACAGTGAGAAACATTACAAATAATGACAGCTGCAGTGAGGAGGAGCCTGGAAACCCTAAAAAAATGAACGGTGTCACTGCTGATTGGTTTGTTACATCCATATTTCGTCTTCTCTACCCTGGGAGGGATCAGCAGCACTCAGGTATTGATAGGTGAGTAAGAATCAGGACTGTAACACATTGTCCATTTCTACCATAGTGTTAAGAGATCCCTAGCAACAAGAGAAAATAAAATCTGTTGTAAACATAAGTGACAATTTCACACATAATACATATTTATTTTTAGTTTTTTATTAAAAATAGATATCTAATGTAAATATTCCATTTCTTCCAAATGAAAAACAATGGAAATAGGTTACACACCCACCATTATATCACTGAGTTAGTAGGGCACATATGGAACACTGATAACTTGATTTGAAGACCAAGGAAGAACATGGCAACACCTGGCACTGAGGACTTCATTTCCTAAAATACAGACACAAAAATCAATCGTTGATGGAGTTGCTGGTTGAGGCCTTCACAACTGTGTAGTGCACCCTGTTAAGATAAAAGACTACCAACAATTTTAAATTCATGGTCTTTATTTACATATAAGTTTATGATTGAGGGAGATAAGGACATGATTTTAAAAAGATATAAGATATATTTTTTCTGAATATCCATTTAAATTTCCTAATCTGTGCTTTATTTATGTTTAAAAATTTCACATCTTCCTACTTTCTCACATTGGTCAGAAGAAAAAAGAGGATACGGAAATGAGCATTTTTTTTCCTCATGAGAATCATAAGAATTCTCTATGCATATATTCACATGCATTCATGTCAAAATTTCCAAGTGATGATTACAAAGTTTAAAAATCTTCATAAAGATAATCACCATATATTTTAAATTTATATATTTTAAATTATAAACTCTCTACCATAAAATACACTGTGTAAGAATCTCATATCACAGTGAAATCAGCAGTAGAATTCAAACTGGTCATTATGTTTCTGTCCTTACTTTCTTATTTCAACCTGCTCTGGAGATTTTGGGATATAAAACTTCATAAAAATAGTATTTGTACATCTTGGATTACACAGGATTATTATTCCAATTAATGTTGTTTATATAGAGGAGAACTTTTCTTGCGATTTTTTGTTTTGTTTTGTGTTTTTTTTTTTTTTGCTCAGAGCCATGTAATTTTAGTATGCTGTCATTTACGTATTTACTTCCTAACTGGAGCTATTAATTCCTAAAAGTTGCTGAAAAAATAGCCTCCATTTTGTAAAAGAAAATGCTGCTATCAGTCTACAAAGTCATTTTAAATGGTTTAGGAAATTAAGGACCATTTAGAATTGAAGGAAATTTTAAAAACAAATCCTTGAAATAATATTTTTTAAAAGTGTTCCTTTTTAAAAACTCTTGTTGCTTAAGAGTGATATTAACATTTTATGCTATTTATAAAAAGTAGTTTTAACTGTTTTTAGGAAAATGATATCACATAGCTTTTATTTGAACATTAACAATAAAAGCTACAGTCTTTATTTTTAAATAATTTAGCTAGAATTTTCATGTGAAATTAAGCTGCTGTGATCCCATCCCAAAATCCATGTTACTTTACTAAGACATTACAGTTCGAATTCTGCTTGTGGGAGTGACAATAAAGCAGAATTTTTTCAAGGAACTAAGAAAGAAACTGGAAGACAAAGAAAATGAACTTGAAATCAATGAAACATTTTAATACTCAAAATTAAAAACAACCCATACGTAGCTTTCTGTTTTTATTTTACAGAATAGTATCATTCACCCTACATAAAAATACACACTTGAGGATGACACAACAATGTCAAAATCACAAAAGCCCTACTGTCAGTTGTTTGAGTGTGCCCTCCGTTATACATAGATATTTGAGGAATGACACATACAATCCCTCCCCAGTGTACTTACCTTGGGTGTTCTGCATTGTCATTTTGCACAAATATAATATTATCAGTTAAGCACTCTGTATAGCTGGCCAGTATACACAGTCCTCAGGCAACTCAGAGAAAAGCAGGTGTCTCCTCCTTGATTTGTTACTGGAATTGATGATGATGCATCTGGCTGCTTGGAGACACCACATTCTTTCTTACTTCTCAGTTGCATTTTCCTGCTGTGGTCCAGCTACAGGAAAAAGTGAGTCTAGAACTTCCTCCCGAGAAGCATCATGATATCATCAACCTGGAAACTTGGGACACTAAATAGATTCCCTGTTGTATTCCCTTTGTTGACGGTCAAAATACTTTCCTTTGTTGACTAGAGAAGAACAGAGATTCTCACAGCATTACACATGTCACTACAGTAACTGAAAATGGTGTCCCAAATGACATCATTAGCTGACATTGCCTATGGTCTTGGTTCTTTAAAGTACATTTCAGCCTTCAAAAGTATTTTTCATAAATCATAAAGGTTAGAATATAAAGTATGAACTGGATTAGCATTGAAAGGCCTTCATATATAATATGAGGACAACAAAACCAAAACAAAAGAAATGCTAAGGCAGTATCATTTATGAAGATTTAAAGTGTTTGGTGATGCAAAAGAAAGACTTAATCTGAAGTAGAAAGCACAAGTGGGAAGTGACAATGTAAATGTTTCATGCCAGTACTTATACAGCATTGCACAGATGGGAAAACTGAAGACAATGTTGTCCTAAGGATTTTCAAACTTGTGAAGAAAATAAAATGAGCTGATATGTATCATCAAAAATTAAACAGAGAAAACAAGTTTGACAGAGTCAAGTTGTTTATATTCTTCCTCAAAAGATGTTGACACTTTTAACATATGTTTTATAACAACAAAACATTGCTTAATATATTTTTGTATAGAATGTGAAACTATGAGTTTCCCAAATTTTAGAACTTATAATATATCAGTTGTACACAATAATGGGATTGAGTCATTTTCACACAGGTTTATATTTACCCATTCCTTCTTCCCACACAGCTACTCTCTGGCATTCCCCATTTTCCTTCTAGTAATAATAACAATGTTAATAACAATAGTTTTTCTTTTTAGATTCCACATATTGGAGCGAATACATGATTCTTGTATGTCAACACCTGGCTTAATTTGATAAACATCTTTTTATCAGCTAGGTTACCAATAAATGACTCAAGAAATGATTCACTTCCAATATGGTATGTCAATTATTTTACTGGGCCAACTGTAGTACAATGGTTGAGCGGTTATTACAGGAATATGGGTGAATTAAGACAATTGAATTACAAAAAAGTACCACTCTAGAATCAGTAATAACCTCATGAAAGCTGTATTACTGAGTGACATATTTGATTAAATTTCCACTACTTAGAGAGTTAGGCACTTTGCCAAATACCATGTGAAGTAAGGGCCAGACCCAATCATGGATGGATTCTCAAAAGAGGACCTTTGATATACCGTATATTCCAGTGGGCACAGGTGGAGTCTTTCTGTCTCCACTGGTCTCCTTTCCTGAAGCTGAAGCTGGGGACACTGGAAGGTGGAGTCTAGAAGGACCGATGCCTTTCCTGTGTGGGCTGGTCCACCGCATGCCCGGAACAGTCCTCTTGGAAGATTGAAGGAGTGGGTGATGGGCAGCGATGCGGTGGTCCCAGGGTGACCCAAGCTCACCTGAACCTGGAGACGTTGGAAGACGGGGTCTGGAAGGACTTATAGCTCTCCTGTGTGGGCCGGTCCTCTGGATGCTAGGATCAGGCCCTCCGGAAGACTGAGAGAGTGGGTGATGGGCAGTGGCGGGGGGAGGGTGGCCCCCGGGAGACCCAAGCTCACCTGAACCTGGGGACACTCGAGGGTGGTGTCGGGAAGGCAAAAATGAAATTTCTAACATGACAAGAAAGGGTATTATCTCTCAAAATCATAAAAGATTGCTTGTTTTCTTACATAATTAATTAGTGCTCAAAGAGTAAATTGCCGAAAAGAAAAAGAAAATTTAATTTTGAATTGAAAGCATCACTGACACTGCTATTTTAAGTAATGCACTCTCTGTCTTTTCAACTACACTTTTTTCTGATCAGTCTAGAATATATGAACATAATATTTTATTCCAGAAATTATATTAGAGTACTAAAGATTCTCATTAAAACTCATTGTTATTTTTACTATTTAGTATTTTATAATAAGTTTCATCAACTTTTTCTTTTATTTAAGTTTTACAGGCTATGCAGCCTTATGTTCCCAGTGCTCCCCCAACGTTCCTAACAAAGACTGGGTTTCAGTGATAATCTGTCATGTTTCAGACTATCATGGATAATTTGCATTTTAAACTCTACTGTTTCAAATGAGAGTTTAGATGGCATCTATTGTATTCTGAATTAAAGATTGTAATATAATAGTCATAAAAGTAATTCCCCAGAGAGGATTTTTAATTAAATAGGTGGTGGAATATACATTGATCTACAGAACCTTTGAAAAATATGTTTTTCATGTTGTACAAGGTTCTGAAGAATGGGCTTACTTACTGATGTACTGAAGACAAATATGTCAAAAATTAACTGACAGTTTCATTTAGAGACACATCAGCCTGTATATGTAATTCTATATGATTTGAACATGCAATTTGTGAAGAAATAGTTCAGCTATTTTTGAAAAATTACAGTAAAACTATAAAGATATTTGACCATTAAACCCAGGGAAAAATAAATGAAAATAAACCACTTGAATAGAATAATGCAAAAAACTGTATTTATTCAAGTGATACTATCACAGATATAATGAATTCTAAAGTCAATTTATTGAATTTTGTGTTGGTTGAACACCAAGATACTACACTCACTTTTATTAAATTTCCCTTGACTCTATTTAGAAATGCATTGGAGGAGTGGGGCAGGGGAAGCTGTGGTCAGAGGGTATTCTATCAGAGAAGAAAATAAACATAAATATAGGATTTTAGCAATTAACTTTCAATTAACATTAAAATTGAAACATTTTAACACATTTTTCTTTCAAGATTTTACTTGATATAGAAAAGAGTACTTTGCATTGTTATGGATTTTTGTTTATTGATTCAAAGTTAAGGAAAATTCTGTTATGTGTGTATTTCTCTTCTTGTTTATGTATTATATTTATACAGATCTTTCAAA